TGTGTGTGTGTGTGTGTGTGTGAGAGAGAGAGATAGAGAGGAAGATGTGTCTCCTTCTGCTCCTGAAGGAACATGTGATTCTGAATCAGAATCGCTGACTGAACAGAGACACAAAACATGCTGCACTTTCACAAACCAGCGCACGAAATTCATTTCTAAGCCACAGAGTAATCAGAGCTTCAGTCTCATTATAACGTCTCTGTGGTTCAAAAATAAGCCCACATTCTGCACATGAAGACTACTTTAGGAGTAAGGAGAATTAAAAATGAGTTTCATAATGCAAAATAGTCTTAATGGTTCTGAAATGGATCGTTCACTCAGAAATCATTATTGTTCATCATTTACTCGCCCTCGTGTCATTCAAACCTGTATGACAGACACAAAAGACATTGGGAACCAGACAACACTGGACCCCATTGACAAAAATCCCTGAGATTTCTCAAAATATCAAATAAAAAAGAACAGGTTACAAGGACATGAGTGTGAGCAAATGATGGCAGAATGATCATTTCTGGGTGAACTATCACTTTAAAAAGGCTCAATTTGTGCAAAATATGAATACTCCAGTTCACCACTGAGATCAGTGAAAGCAGTAGTGATGATAAATGCATCCCGATCCACACTGACTGCCGTGTGTGAGAGTCATGTAGACACAGCCAGCGAAGGGTTAAAGTGTCCCGATGAACACTAGTGTCAGTAAACTCTGAGTAGAGCGCTAGATGTGATGATTCACACCGACACGCTTCCCATCAGGCCGGAGATCTGCAGCTGTGGTTTACCGCCAGCTCATGCAAATGCAATGCAGTCGAGCAACGTAAACTTAAAAACTCTCTGACAAAACATCTACATAGCGTTCAGCAGCCCACGTCATGTTTAAACAAGCCCGAGTGTTACCCTTCAGGAATATGTGATTATCCTGCATCTCTGTATGCATGTGATGTGTTAGCTTCCATCACCCGGCAACGGCTTCAGCATCCTAACGTCATGGCAACCGACAACAAACACAGATGCTTCAGCATCAGCAGACACCAAACATCAAAACAAACCGTAGTGAACTGAAGACGGTTCAGCCGAAACACGTTCGATGCGCCGAGTGACACACGAGCGACACGAAGCAGCAAAGATCTTCACACACACACACACTCGCACGCACGCACACTCACACACACGCTCACTCACACGCACACGCACACTCACGCACATCACACACACTCACTCACTCACACGCACTCACTCACTCACTCACTCACACACGCACTCACTCACTCACTCACTCACACTCACACGCACACACACACTCACACACGCACGCACGCACACACTCACTCACACACGCACTCACTCACTCACACACACTCACACGCACACACACACTCACTCACTCACAGTCACACGCACACTCACTCACTCACTCACTCACTCACTCACTCACTCACTCACTCACTCACTCACTCACTCACTCACTCACTCACTCACTCACTCACTCACTCACTCACTCACTCACTCACTCACTCACTCACTCACTCACTCACTCACTCACTCACTCACTCACTCACTCACTCACTCACTCACTCACTCACTCACTCACTCACTCACTCACTCACTCACTCACTCACTCACTCACTCACTCACTCACTCACTCACTCACTCACTCACTCACTCACTCACTCACTCACTCACTCACTCACTCACTCACTCACTCACTCACTCACTCACTCACTC